TCCTAATACTTTAGGGCTTTTCCCACCATTAGTTTCAGATCAAAACTCTTCCCCAACAATAATTACCTACGAATTTACATTCTATGGATCGAAAAATGGATTCGGGAAGGGAAAACCTTACCTTTAGACTCAAGAATGGTGGAAAACTGTCAATTTAGCCTCAAGAATGGTGGAAAACTGTCAAGAAAACCCTGGGGTCGTTCCTTAGCTCTTAAAGTTGAAAAGTGTAGAATAAAATATTTTTGGGGTTTATTTCCGACTTAAGTAGTGTCTGTCCCTCCACAGCGGCCCAGCCCTGGTGGGATAAATCCCGCCCTAGCGGCTTGCATGGAACCAGTGAGCAAAATTAAGAATTCCAAACCCCTATTTCACAACACGCCTTCATCCCATGACACTTAGAAAATACCCTTTCACGCTAAGATCAGTTTCGAAAGTTCTACTCACCCAAATTCAATTCTGTGAGGTCGTATAGATTCCTTAACGACTTATCTAACCACTCATGTAATCAAAATCATAAATAAGTCACCCGATTGTTACCAGATTTTCCTACACCTTAACGACTCTAATTTCGTCCAAATCTGGACTAAGTTGGGAAATCCAAAATTACTACTCAAAAGTTTTCTGGCCCTAATTCTTTCCCCATTGGCTTTTCTATAACGACGGGAACGGGTCGTTACAATTAGTTTACTACACAACACTCCTTCCCGATCTGCCTTGAGGAACTCTTTAACAACTTCAGGAGAAGATATTAGGATATGTGGTTGGGTGGTCGTTGTTAGCTTGTAACCTATTCTGGACAAAACATCTGCTACCTTGTTTGATTGACGAAAGTACTGATGGATCACTGGATTTCACAAAAAGTTTAGTATTTTTCGACTTTATGATTTTGTAATTAGTATCTCAAAAATCTAGTGACATTTATGTTTTAAGAAAAGGATAGTTAAATAACTTTTTTTTAAAAAGTAAGTAATAATTATATGACTATATGTGAAATTTGTCCCAATAATTTTTATTTTGACAACAAAATTTACCCTCTATTTATAACTAAATGCAATTTATTTTTTCCCACCAATTAGAAATAGAGTTCTATCTAAACCAAAATATCATGCACTATTATTAGATTTTCTTTCCAATAATTATGGGGTCCAAGTTAATTAAATACCTAGAATTTTGATTTTATTAAAATTAAAATTTGAGACCTTTTATACTTCCTTCAATTTCTTTTTAAAACTTAGAGATCTCATACTTCTCAGTTCACATTATAAATTTATGGCTTAAGTCATCAGCGGCCCCTTAAAGTTGTCCGCATAATTCACTTAGACACCTCGACTAAGACTAGTACCTATTGAACACTTTTACCAATTTAAAAATTGTTCCTATTAGGCATTTTTTGATAATCAGCAAAAAAATATGAAGAGTGTGTGGTACACTTGCGGTGAGATGGCAAAACAGCTAATTAAAAAATAACATGTGGCATTGGGCCCCAAAAATTATAAAAAAATAATTTTGTTTAAAATTATTTCAAATACTTTTTATATCTAATTTTTTTTAAAAGAAAAAGAAAAAAATGAAAATGTCAACCTATTCTACCCAACCCTACCCCTACCCACCCCCTTTCATCTTCATCTTCTTCCCAAAACACATTATTTCTCAAATCACAAAACCTAATTCTTTTCAAATAACTTGAGGATTAACTTTTTAAAAATATATATATACATTTTCATACTAAGAGTGAAGAAGAAAGAAAATTTTGCCGGCGGTTATTCATTTCTACATCGATGACAACATGAAATTGATAGCTCAAAAATTAATTCTTTCAATTTTTTGAATATCATTTTTGATAAATTTAATGGGTTTATATATGAATTTGAGTAAAAATCTTTGTTCGAAAATTTTGATAAACAAATATCAGCTAACTTTTTTTATACGTAAAAATCATTTATCTTTTTTCTTCTTCTTCATATTTGTTCCTTATTTTTATGAGATTTGAAATAAATCATACTTCTTTCAAATCTGAATCTTCATAGTTGATTTTCATTTATCTTCATATTTGAAAGAAATAATATTTTATTTTATAAAAAAGAAAGAAAAACAATTTTGGAGCTAAAATGAAGAATGTTTTGCAAACTAAAGTATGAAGAAGATGATAGGTAGGGAGTGGTGTCTTTTTTTTTTTTAAAAAAAAAAGTGTAAATGATAGAAGAAAAGTGTTTTTAATTTAATTATAATGCCAAGTGTCAATAAAAGAAGAAAAAATGTAAAAAAATTTCAAAAAAACACTATTTTCAATCTTTTCACGTGTTTTAGGGAAGTGCAAAACACATTTTTTGCCATATCAGCATTTTGTGTTTAATATGTACATGTTTTGAACAATTTAGATGTTCAATAGGTACAAGTCTTAGTTGAGGTGTCTAAATGAATTATGCGGACAACTTTAAGAGGCGGTCGATGACTTAAGCCTAAATTTATTAATCACTAGGTCACGATTTTAAAACTCACATTTTGGTCACATCAAACCCTTGACAGCGCAAGTATTCCCAATTTCTTGTTCACTTTGTCCTATTGGAATTAATTAACTACAGCTGTAATGATTAACCAATAGAAGTCAACCACTGCAACAACAATAATTAGTATAGTTATTAGCTATAGGTCAACATATATTATTGGCATCAATTAAATATCTAATTAGATTCTATTTTTTAATTTTGGATGTCCAAGATTGTCTTTAATGTGTATTAATAGTTATTATCTTAGAAATTTAATTTTTGTCAAATAAAATTAAAACTGAAAAGGTTACTATTTATTAATTGAGTAATCATTTAAGAAAACCGTGGCAACTATAATTTATAGTCCGGTGATATCATATCAGTGCGATTGGTTGGGTTTAAAGGTGTGAATAGAAAATAAATGGTTGTGACTCTTTTGAAAGGTTGCGATCTTTATGAAAAGTTGTATTTTTTCTAAAGGATTGTGACCGTTTGAAAGGTTGCGTCTTTTCCAAAGGGTTGTGACCCATCTGAAAGGTTGTCTTTTTCCAAAAAAGTTGTGACCTTTACCTTTTGTTGGCTATAAATAAAGAGACTTTCTCTCATTTTTCTGCATTGACTTATTCTCTTCTTCTGCATACATTTCTTACAAAGCAAAATCGATTGTGTCTGTATGTGTTATCTCGTTGCTGTCTTTTTGAGTTCGTTAAAATTATTAAAGTTTGAGGCATCACTACTTCTTTAATGATTAATCTGTTTTATCTTTGGAGGAATTAAACTACAACCTCAAATACTTGAGGGGATTAAATTTCTTAAGGACACACAGTGAGTTCTGTGGACTCAGATAGTTCTTTTCTATTTCTTTTCATTTATTTCTGATTTGCTAATCTGAGAAGAGAAAGAGAATTATTTTATTATATGATAAAGAAAAATAAGTGTGTTTTCTACTTTTTTATTTTTTTATTTTTTATGTTTGATAGATAAATAAATAATATTATCTTAAAAGTAATTATATATAGTTTAAATAAATAATATAGGAGCTGGACGTAGTAAGGTAGAAATGTAGGATGATAGGGGTGAAGATGACGAGAGTGGAGACGGGAAAGGATGCAGATGAGCAGTGATAGAAAATAAATAATACATAATCAAGATAGAATATCAGTTATCGAACTTGTTTAAAAAATATTCAACTAATTAAACATAATTGAAAAAATATTTTAAAAATTATTTCAATAGATTAAAAATATTTTTGACAACCCAAAATATATTAAAAATAAACTTATAATTCATTATTTTTAGAATTTCCCGATTAGAATATTTGATGTCACTTCTACTCATGCCACCCCAAATATAGTAAAAACGTGACAAAATTGTACACTCAAATCTCAAAAAAACTTTAATTTGCCCCCTACCCCACCAAATAAGTTAAAATTAATTTGCCCCCACCAATAGCAAACCAACTCCTATTTGCTAACACTTCTAAAATTTCAAATCTTATTCTTTCGATTTTAAATTATTCGTCATGATTTAAAAAAATAATTATACACATTTATTTATTATTCTAAAAATTAAATTTATATTTTTATTTTTCTTATTTTACTCTTAGTAATTATTTTAATTGAAGATTATAAATATCTCAAATATAAATGATATATTATGATTGTTCAAATACGGATGAAAGATGAAATAAGATTTCAACCTATTTTTATTTAATTATTATTAATTTGACATATTTCTTAAAGAAAAATTTATAAAATGACAATTTAACTATATCAATTTTCTCAATACTTTAAAATAACTATAGTTAATCATAGAGGTAAAATCAAAATTAAGTGATATATTATGTCCAAATTTTTAAAATTGATCAAGTAAAAGTAAATATATCATATCTAAAATATTTAAACTAAACAAGTAAAAATAAATATCTATAATTAATACAATGAAGAAATAATAGTCGATAAAGAAAGTATTTCTCAAGAAGGGTGTAAGAGAGAATTAGGCCAAATAATTTGACAATGAGAGAGTTGCTAGCTATATATATTCAAACTAAACAAGTAAATACCTATAATTAATACTGAGGAAATAATAGTCGATAGAGAAAGTATTTCTCAAGAAGGGTGTAAGAGAGAATTAGGCCAAATAATTTGACAAAGGAGAGAGTTGCTAGCTATAATTTTAGATCTTCAAAAATAATTTAAGAAATATGTAATTAACGAATGTAAAAATGAATAATTTTTTTTTGTTCATATGTTTAAAAATACAAAAAAGTGAAAATGTTACGAAATTATATAAAACATGAAAAGAAAATAAAAGTACAGAGAAGAGAGGAACTTTTTAGTCCTAATTTTTCTCCAAATGAATCCACTTAATTGATATTCACAGAAATACAAATACGTTTGTAATAACAAACATTTTTTAATATAATGGACAAGTAAATATCGGAAGAAATATAGAGTAATATTTTTTTTTTAAATGATTTTTTTCTATATATATACTAGGGTGGGTTGGGTCACATTTACCAAATAAAAAAACCTCCTTAAATTCCTCACCAAAAACCCTTTCTTCTTTTCAAACTTATTTTTTAATTTAATTCCAAACAAGAAGGATGATGTATCCAGCGAACAATCGGTGGCTGATCGGCGAATCACCGGCGATGATTCATCCGAATTCTACATGGACGAGATTTGAAGACAAGTTATTCGAACAAGCTCTTGTTATGTACTCTGAAAACGATATTGAACGGTGGCAGAAAATCGCTAATCATGTTCCGGGAAGGACGGCGGAAGATGTTATGGCTCACTATGATGCACTTGTTCATGATGTTTTTGAGATTGATTCAGGGAGAGTAGAGCCGCCGAGTTATCCTGATGATTTGTTTGACTGGGAATCGGATTGTAAAACTAGCCAGATCTCGTTTGGGACGAACAAGAAACATGAAGTTGAGAGGAAAAAGGGGACCCCATGGACTGAAGAAGAACACAGGTTTGTTTTTTGAAGTTTTGTTTATAGGTTTTGATGTGAATTTTGTTGGGATTTTGAAAAAGGGGTTTTGGGGATTTGAAATTTTGGGAATTAATTCTTGGCTGTGAAAATTGTGAGTATTTGAAAGTAGTTTTTGCTTGGATTAATTTGACTTAGCACGCAATTTAAGAAAAAATACACTTTTGAATCTTTATGGTGATAAATTAAAACATGTCAAATTTTCGAAAATGTTCTTTAATCTTATGGTCTTAAAGTGAATAGTGAGATTAAACAGTTGCTCAAAAAGGTAATCTTTTTTAGTTGTGTGATTCACTTTGCAAATTATTCAAATGGTAGAATGGATAGTGAGTACTGTATAAGTAGTAATAGTAGTTGTTGTGTAATCTATCTTTGTTGAACTGATTCAAATAGAATGAAATGGATTGTGAGTATTTCGATCCGACTTGCTTGAAATTAAGGTGGAGTTAATGGTTGTTGCGTGATCCATTTTGTGTAAACAATTTAGGACAGTAATAACATATCTAGTGAAATTTCACAAGTGGGGTCTGGAGGGGATAGAGTGTATGCAACAGACCTTATCCCTACCTCGTGGAGATAAAAGACATTTCCAATTAAGTGCCATAGAAAAATATAGGTGAGTTTGGTCCGGGCGTGGACATTTTCTTATACAGATGGAGACATTTAACATCCTTATGAATAAGTTAAGTGAGTGTTTATGATAAGCATTGACAAGTTCTTATTGTTTATTACTAACTTCTTTGAATGAAGTTAAAAGGTTTTTGACTACCCGTGGTACGGCTAATATAGTTGTAGAAAATTATGAAGTTCTATGAAAAACTTTGTTGAATTCTTCTTCATTGTGTTAGGTGGTATTTGTCACACATAAAAAATATATAGTACTAATAGATCTAATTATATTGTTCGAGTCTCAAGATATATGTTGACTTCATAAGATAGTTGGAATTGTTATTTGTTTGGATTTGATGCTGACTTAGAAAACCATGGCTTTTTGTCATAGGTTATTCCTTATTGGGCTGGACAAATATGGGAAGGGTGATTGGAGAAGCATTTCAAGAAATGTAGTGGTGACGAGGACACCGACACAGGTGGCCAGTCATGCTCAAAAATACTACCTTAGACAGCAGTCGATGAAGAAAGAACGTAAAAGGTCGAGCATACAGAATCAAGGAGCGTATCAGAATTTCAACTTTCCCATGTAGAGAGACATGAAAACTAGGAATATCTGTAAATATTATGGTCATATGGAATCTATGTGTTCCAACTTGTATAGTTTATTGTTTCTAGCTTACAGTTGATTTAGGGGATTACCTAGTGAATAGAAGCTTAGTCGATAGTTTCAGTTACTGCTTCGAGCTGAATCGTTGTTCTTATGGATGGCATAAGTTGAACAACCCGTGGAGGTTTACATGTAATTAAACAGAGTTTAAGGGAAATCATTGGCGTTTTGGTTCCAGAACTAGTTTATGTTAAGTTTGTGCCGTATATCTGGAAGTTTAAGTATTCTGCTGGATTTGTTGCTTGGTGCCTTGTTCATCCCCGTTTTGCTACGGATGGGAGCTAATCTTGTCTTTTTTCTTCTAATCTTTGTTTTCGACATTTGAGGTTACTCTTTTTTTCACTTGTGTTTGGTGTGGCCTTGTTGTTCTGGAGGAAGCTACCAGCCAAGCATTGGACCGGATGATCAAAAGGCTGCTATCATCGCTCCCAGACAGAAGAGTAGGTTACCTTGCACCATTTTACTGACACTATCAATAGATAGTCCTGTATTTGCTTTGAAGATTCATGTAAATTAGTAATCATTTCGAAGCATCATACCTGTTCTATGTTTGACGTTTTGAACGTATAGAACACATTCTCGTTTGATCATCAGTATACTGAACCGGTGTCTTTGTAGTGGTTGGTGATTGGTTTCATCAAGTTGATAATAGTGCCTTCGTAGGCTAATGATTTGGACGCAAAGATGATCTGAAATTCATGTGTTTCTCCTAATGGAATCCTGCGTCGTTCTAGCTAGAGATCCTTACCTTGATGTTATGTTTTCACTGTTTAAGGCAGCAGAGGAAAGAACTACTGATAGTTAACCTGTCTGTTTGAGGAACAAAAGACACCATTGGGTTATTTGGAGAAAGAAGGAACAACAAATGCTTTGAACAACATACCCATATTGCGTGTACGCAGACCTTATCCTACCTTTAGCGGACCCTCAGATCAAGAAAACGGTTTTCAAAGTACTGACAACAAAAAAGTAGAAGCTGCAACATATTCTAAAGTATAAACGTCTCTACTTCTTGACATTTACACTAGATTGAAAGATAGGAATAGGAGACATATTTTTTTGTTCATCAATTCTTCCAGAAAGTGCAAGACCAGAAACTATACTTTTGATATGCATTTTTTGTATTTGCAGTTGATGGACCTATAGGAAACATACCCCCAGAAAGGTAGGTGTAAGGTCTACGTACATTCTATCCTCTCCTAAGAAAGACCCCACTTGTGGGATTTTATTCGGTATTTGTTACAAAACAATTAAGTTAATGGTTTATAGGAAACAATCTCTCTACCCCCACAAAGGTAGGTGTGAGGTCTACGTACATCCTACTCTCTTTAAAA